ACCGCATATTCGAGCCTCATTCAGCGACGAGCTCAAAACGTGTCCGGGATTTCGACCGCCCCCACCAGCTGGCCCACTGTGCGTCAGTGATTCCGACTGACCGCCCCTCGGGGTGGTGGTCGAGGGTGGCCGGGGCGGCGCGTGCTACAACTAGTGCAGCAGGCACTTGACGGCTCGTAAAGCGAACGCGCCACCGCGGGGACCCTTTATGCCCTTTTGATGGACTGCGATCAACACCCCTGGCGACCGCAGGGCGCAGGGCGGCGCCCACAGCGCAAGGTCAGCCCGAAATAGCGGTGGCGGCGTGGGTCGCGGGTTCGCGCCCCGCCCGCCGCGCCCGCCGTTTCCCGCCAATATCATTAGTGGAGTTCGTTGGCCCGCGCCTCCGCGATTCGTGGTCGGGCGGAGTGGCGGCGGCACTAGCAGACGCCCAGACTCCCAGCGCACCGTTACGCCGCAAACCGAACGGACTCCCGAACGCAGCCGCCATTTTTCGTCCCTCTCGTCCTCATGGCGGTTCCGCTACACTTTGCAAAGCAGAGGCTTGGCATGATTAACTTTCGGCCGGCCGGCCGTGCAGCTCGGCGAAAAGCAAAATAAAGCACCGGACGGCCTGGTAGGGCTCGGCATGGGCCTCGGCCTCGGCATGGGCTTCCCGCAGGGACAGTTCATCCCAGGGGGCCCTGCGGGCCGCCCAAACCCCATTTAAAAGGGAAAGGGGGGCCCCCGGGCCGGGCCCCCCCCAGGGGCCAGCAAGGGGAGTGAGGGGTCAGCGTGTCATAGGGGAGGCCGCTCCGGGGGCTGTGTCTGTCTGTCTGTCCGTCCGTCTGTCTGTCTGTGGCTTTGCGCTTTGTCTGTCGCTGATGGCTGCTGAAACTGTTGCGGCCAGCATCGCGGACCCAGCCCAACGCGTGGATCTCTGGTTCAGCCGTCTCTCTCTCTCTCTCTCTCTCTCTCTCTCTCTCTCTCTCTCTCTTAATCGCAGGCCGCTAATTACAGGCTCCGGGCTGCTCTACAGTGTACCGCGCCAGGCCGTCCAAACGCAAACGAATCGGCCGCGCGTTGCGCGTTCTGCCGCCAATCACCGTTTTAACGGCGGCCGCGGTTCGCGGGGGAGGAAGGAGGGCGACCTCCTGCAGCGTCTCCCCTCTCTCCAATTCCCCGCCCCGGTTATCCTTTTATAACCACAACATTTTCCTTGTTTTCCACGTTCCTCCTATTCGCTCCGCCGCCGCGCGCCTCGGGTTACGACACTAACCCAATTTCCATTGCCAACAGCGAAGCGGCCTTCGCAGTCATCGAATCACGGCCCGGAAAATCCCTCTGCCCATCTCTCGCCACCTTCAAAGGGGTGTCGTGTGTGTGTGTGTGTGTGTGTGTTTGCCCTTTCCATGTGTTCCCTAGGGGTGCGCCGTTCCCAAGCGAGGCCCCCCTACACTGTACGCGTGCCTTATGCCCGCTGGAATGCCCGGAGAGGTCCACTGGAAGGGGAAAAAGGGGGGGGGGGCAAATAGAGGGCGAGATGAAGGCAGGGTGCACTAGTAGTCAAGCCGGCCACCGATCAAGACAGACAGACAGATCATCAACAATGCAACAGGCGGCCTGCAAAACTACCCCCAAGCTCCGGGGCCCGGCAAAGTTCCCGCGGCTGCCGCGGGGGCTCTTGGCACTGTGCCCCCACTGTTTACCTCCCCCCCCCGCCCAAAACGCAATAATTGATTCGCGATAAATCAAAACACGGCTGCTATTTTGGCTGGCGGTGCGTGCGGCCTGCTGCAAGCCGAGCCAAAGAAGCCAAAGTCGCTCCGTCTCTCTCGCACTCCGACGGCCCACCGTAGGCCAGCCCACGAGTGCGAGAGAGACAGAGCGACTCGGCCTTGTTGGCCTGGCCGGTGAAATACGCCCCCCGATAAAGCGGCCCGCAATCAATCAACTCGCACACAGTCGGCATCGTGCCGTCCTCGTCGCACGGCAGGGAGAGAGAGAGAGAGAGAGAGAGAGAGAGAGAGAGAGAGAGAGAGAGAGAGAGAGAAGCAAAAAGTGTGCTGGTCAGTCTCACTCGGGCGGCAGACGCATCCACGGTGCATCGCATGCATTAGCGAACCACTGGCAGATGATGTGGCGGCCAGCGCTCCGATTCAAAACCGCCTTCTTACTCTCTCTCTCTCTCTCTCTCTCTCTCTCTCTCCTCTCTCTCTCTCTCACACACACACCGTGGCAGTGCGCCTGGATGCACGCGAGACACCGGACACTATTTTTTTTCCATTCACCGCTGCACCTCCCTACTCCCTCCCCGGCATTTCTCATTTCTCCGCCGGCATGCATTTCACAGTGCAGTGCGGTGCATCTCCGCGGCCAGACAGGTGCAGTGTAAAGTGGAACCGCGCCTAAGCCGCCGCACTTTCGCACACAAAACGGGGCGCGTCGAGCTCCGGCCAGTTCCGTCTTTCTCTTCGGTAAACACTTGGGTGGGACAGTCATGTACACCGCACTGCAAATTTATTTTTTTTTTCAGAAAAATACCACAGTAGAAATACTTTTAATTGTATTTTTTTTTTTGCAAGGATAGTTCGTTAGTATGCAGAAGTACGTTCTTTTGGTGGAATTTCCAGTGTCTTGCTGCAGTGGTGGTGTGCAATTGACGCCCCAGTCTGTACCGCCCAGGGCGCCAGCAGGCTCAATGAGACGCTCGAGGTACAAGTGACGGCGGAGGCCGCACCGACACACACACACACACACACACACACACACACACACACACACACGAGCACGTGTCCTCAAGTGATTCTCGCCACGACACTGCGAGGCGCGTGCCCTTCCTGGTGTGAAATATAAATGAGCCGGGTGGCCCGCATCGGTCGAACAATCGGCGAGCGAAAAGAGAGAGAGAGAGAGAGAGAGAGAGAGAGAGAGAGAGAGGAAGAGAGAGAGAGAGAGAGAGAGAGCGTCGCCTTTTAGTACAAGGAGGGTTTACACGATCGCTGCGGAGGATGAAAATAAAGCTGCCGATTTGGAACGATGATGTCATCGCCGAGCTCGGTGCTGTCCAGTCCAAGTCCAGTTCGTTGGCCAGTCACCCCCTTCCCCCTTCGATCGCCGGCCAATCCACGCGGCCGCTGCTGTTCCATTTGCTTAACACACGCTGTCAAGGCCACTGGATTATCGACATGTCCATCTGGAAAGGCTGCGCTGCGCGGCTCGGCCAAAACGGTTTCTTCTTTTTGCCCGCGCGCGTTCGGCTTTCTCTTCTTTTTCTGGACTTTCCGCGTTTTTACCCGTTCTCAAAATTGTCACTCGGATTTTTTTAAAGCCCTTATTTAATTGTTTTTAAATGTAATTTTAGTGACTTTTTCTAAGCGAATTTTTCCGCTTCGCTCTGCGCACCCTTGCACGGCCCGTGCCCATCCTGAACGGTTGCATAAGTCCTGGGAGAACGAGATCGTCAGCTCGCCGCCCAGCCCGGCCCAGCCTAGCCTCTTCCTGCTCTATGATGGCCCGGGTTGGGCCGGACTTGGCCGCGCTGGGCGGAAGGCTTAGGCGAAGCCACCTCTGCGGTTGCAGCCCGGCTGGCTGGCCCGGCTGGCTGGCCCGGTGCATGGCAGCATGGCCGCATGGCCACTGGGTCGCCGCACGCCGCTACCGGTGTCCGGTTGCACCCGGACGATCGACCTTCCGCTGCAGTGTACCGGACGGGACAAATTCGTACAAACTTGCCGGCAGCGACCCCCCGCTATTTTTCCCGCTCCCCTGTTACGGTGGAAGAGCAAACGCTGAGGTCTGTCTGTCCTCTCTCTCTCCGCGATGCGGACACAACAGCTGCAACCTGCTGACTGACCGATTCCGAAGAGGTTTTCTGCCTCTCTCGCACCCCTCAGGGGCCGCACCATGAGTGCGACAGAGACAGGCCGGCTCGCCCCCACCCCTTTTCAATTTGCCCCCGCCACCCTCGGCAGCCCTCTGCATCGACGTGTTATGGATGGCTGTCCGCAGCAGACGGGGGTAGGTAAGGTACAGTACTGGGTGGGGGTCATGAAATGATGGATTCCCACCCTCTCTCTCTCTCCCTCCCTCTCTCGCCCAAGGCAGAGGCACCGCTCACGGCAGGGAAAAACGGTGGGTGACTCGCCTATCCGCAGGATAGAGAGTGACAGAGACGGAGGATAGAGGGGGAGGCCGCCGGATACGCCACGGGATAGATCCGTCCGGAAGGAAGTCAAATAAAATTCGAGTGATAAATAAAGGCGCGACGCGGTGCGAGAAGTGAGCCCCAGCGCCCGCTACACTGCGAGCGAAGGGGAGTGCCAACGCGACAGACATCCCGAAATTGGGCGTCGTTTTCTGGGTGAAGTAGCGCGGTACAAGTCGAATTCAGAACGCAAAGTCATCCTGAACGAAACGGTCGCAACGCACGACGACGCGTACACAAAGTTGTCGGAATGATTGTTGTCGAGTTGGCACTGGTCGTACTCGCCAGGTCATAAACAACAACAACAACATGATGCGTCTGCTAATTCATGAAATTACAGTGCAGGCCCGCTGTTGGCACCCGGGCCGCCGTGCCGCGCCACGCCGCCAGGTACTCCCGCCCAGCCTCGTTTGCATACCGAGTTTATAAATTAGCCGGCCGGCTCCTCCATGACGCGCTGGAACCGCTGGAACCGGCCGGGCCTCCAGACTCCTCCAGGCCTCTCCAGAGCCGAGGTGTCACAGATAATGGCAGGGCGACTTACGGCCTTCGGCTGGCTTCGGCTGGCTTTGGCACGCCGTCCCTGGCCGCGCCGTTTCGCTATTGGCAGCAAGCATTTTTCTTCATTTTGTTTAGTCTTTTGTCCTTTTCCTTTTTTCGTCGGGGGCGCCCAGCCCGGCGTCGCGCAGCTGCCAGAGGGGTCCAGAGAAAGGGGTCCGCGACTGCCGTTTTGGCAGGGCGGGGGAAAAATAGAGGCCCACATCGACATTGTCAGCAAACATGCCGATAATATTTTTTTCTCTTTTTTTTCTAGTGCACCCCTGGTCGGCACACTGAGCCCCCGCGAACCGCCCCCGGCCCAAGGTAACCTACAAGCAAGCAGAACCGACGCGGCAAATATCTGGGTGCGGTCCCGCGGACGGAGGCGAGGCAAGGCGGAAGGGAGGGACTTTGAGTGGTGCTGAATTTGAAGGAGGGGCGGGGGAGGGGGAGTCTAGGGTCGGTTCCGGGTGAAGGGATGTTTGCACGAGGCCGGCCGGTGAGAGCCTCAGGGGGACGATCACCGCACTGGCGGGGGGCTGCGGGGGCTGCTGGGGCTGCGGGGGCTGCTGTGCAGGCCCCGGATCGACCTGTCCGCCAAACTCCAAACTCGGAGAGGGTGCCTTTGCCGCTTGCCATGCGGCTCACAGAGGCGAGAGCCAGCCAAAATCATGAATTTTTTTAAGAAAATAATTTTTTTTTTCACGTTTTTTTGCGTTTTTTGTGGAAGCGAGCTGATCTTTTGATCCCCGGCAAAGTGTCCGCGTGTACTGCAGGGGCTCCAAGGCGCGGGGCGTCAAAGTCGCGCCGGAGACGCACCCCTCGTCAGAGGCGACCCCCAGGATCGTATCGCCGTCGCTCTGTCTCCGTCGCACTCGCGGGGCGGGTCGCGGGGGCGAGAGAGAGACTCCGCATTCCACACACGGGCCGCAGGGCCGCACGTAGGCGACGCGACAAGGCATAAAACGCTTCATTGGGCAGAACAGCCCATTTCGCGATTCGACAACGACAAAAAAAAAGGACAAGCGAGAAAAAATTCCTAGAGCAGGGCGAAGGGAGGGAGGGGAGTGGCGAAGAGGGTGCGCCAGACTCGAGGAAAGAGCAAGGTCTTCAAAGACTGCATTCAGTAACCGTGTCGCAGGGGGAGGGGGAAGGAAGGGACACCTTATCAAACATTGAATGGCTGACGTGTTCCGGGGCCCACACTGGCCCTGGGGCCCACGGGGCGCACGGGGAGGGCGGGACCGTCTGGCGAGGCGTCTGCTGAGCACCGTCCGTTAACCCGGACTACACGGCCGAACAAAACAAAAACGTCGCCGAAAAATAAGGAAGTTGTTGGTTGGCGGTGTAGGACTGGATTCGAAAAAGGGAGCGACAGGGAGACAGAGACAATAGACTGAGTGTCAGGGCGACGCAGGGCGGCGCAGGGTGAAGCCGAGGCACTTAGCGGTCCATCAGAACGAGACGGGGCGCTGCATTCAATTCACCGTGCGCCGCAGGGACTTCCCTCTCCCCACCCCACTGCCAAGCCGGAATTGAAATTTTAATAAATGCCGCCACGGTGGTCGCGTCCGCGTCCCCCCGCCCCCGGACGGCGGCGTGCTCTGCGTCCTCTGCCGCCCGGGCAGCGGGCCGTCCGCACGACGCGCGTGTCCACCACGTGGCCTACCTCGCCCCCGAGGAGGCCGTCAGCAACCCTGGCCGTCGACCGCCCTCGCCAAGTTCAAGGCCCGCGCGCCGTCCGCGCACCACCGGTCCGAGCGGGCGGTTCGTGTTTATGGCCGCATGCACGAGCCCCCCCCCTCCCCCTTCCGCCCCTGCAGCGCCGCCCGGAGGCGAATCCTCCAAACCAATCCAATTGCACCACAATTTCCCCGCGGAGCCCGGCAAAGCGACGAAGGGCAGGGCCAGCCAGGGCCGTGTGCCGCGGGGCCGGAGGGGGTGGGGGTGGAAGGGGGAGGGGGCACTGACTGAGCTGCCTTATTATTACCTCCCGCTGCCTGCACACCCCCTGCGCCACGCAGCGCAGGCAGCGCCGCCCTGGACAGTCGCCCCTCCCTCCCCTCGGTTGTTACACCCTCCGCTGTTGCAATTTTGCGCAGCCATAAGGCCCGCAGGGGGGAGGGGGAGGGGGTTGCTTTTCGCGGAAAAAGGTGCTCTGGCCTCGCCTCGGCCCGCCGGCGAAGGGTTGCGCGGCGTTCCCTAATAAAGGGAGTCCTGGAGCACTGAGATACGGCCAGACATCCGTAACAGTGGTGCGGCACCGCCGAGGGGGAAAATAGATCGATGCGCGGGTATTTGAACCCGCGTGATATTTGGCGCGTGTTTTCCTTTTCCAGGGTGTTGTTTCCTTCCGTCCCGCCGGCGTGCACTGACCTTCACCACCACACTGCATAAACACGGTCGGCGTCGCTACTTGGTCCGCGCACTGAGACGTGACCGACACGACCACGCCGAACTGGGCGACAGTAAGCGCCTTCGACACACGGACGGACAGACGGACAGACAGAGACAGACAGACAGACAGACAGACAGACAGACAGACAGACAGACAGACGAACCGACACACTCGCGAGCAGCCATAAGCGCCGGTCTGGTGAGCTTCGTAATGAGGCTTTGGCTTGTCAAGTCCAAAGACGACACATAAACCTCCGCCGCCGCGGTACTCGCCCCGCCCCGCCCCGCCCCGCCCACGCCACAGCATTTATAACCTTTTCCGGAAAGAATAAAAACCCCCGCGCTATCGCCATCAGTCTGGCGACGTGACTTGCCTAATCAGCTGACGCCTAGCTGCGCTCACCTGAAACAGAGGAAGGAAAACAAATGCGTTAGATAAGCTTTACCCTGCGCACTGCGCGCTCCACTGCGCGGGGAGGCAATCATTAGGGGCAATAATTGCAGTTGCCAAACAGACAGACAGACAGACAGACTCGTCCAACTTTCTCCGCACTATGGTTAGGGGAGTCGGAAGTCTGCTTCTGCCCCAGAGCCCCGGGATTCTCTTTTAACTTGTTCGATAGTCGGTCCGCGGTAAGCTGGGTGCGGTCGAAGGACCCGACGCGTGCATCCGACTGCCACACTAGAAGTCCGATTCGGAAGCGCGAGCACAGCGAGGACGAGGCCCTGGTGCTTCCAGCGCCGTCGTCGCTCTGTCTCTGTCGCACTCGAAGGGCGGGCCGTAGGGGTGCGAGAGAGAGCGACCCGCGCGTGCCGGGGCCCACACTGTACCACATGTAGTATGTATAGGCGTAAGCCTTGGTTCCATTAGGAGCAGACGGCCGGCCTGCATTATTTAGCCATTCAATACATTCATGGCCTCCGCGGCCTCCAGCGAGGCGGGCAGCAGTGGGCCAGAAGACCGGTGGAGTCGGCCGCCAACCCCAGAGGGAGAGGGCTCCACCGCCGCGGCCTGGGTGGCCTGCAGGGTGATAGTGGGACAAAGCCGGCGTCCTGGAAGGGCCCGGCCCAGCACCAATCCTGCAAGCGATCGGGTGTCCAATAGCCCAATACGGCCCTTGAGGCCCCCGACGGTCCCCGAGGGCCCCGAACAGGTGTCGCTCGGGGCTCGGGTCTTAACCACTGATGGGTCCTGATGGCGGTGTAATAGTCCGTCTGGCGGTGCCGGGGTTGCCGAGGTGTGAGGGGTCCTCCACCAAGCAGCCGATGCCTTATTTTAGTGTGGCGTGCAGGAAGGCATCATTTTGAAACTCAATTTCCCGAGCTCCGGTCACATTGAGCGCGAGGTTTAAAAACCGGTCACCCCCCATTGAGGTATTTTCCTGAAATCCGGGATTGCTTGAAAGTTATAACCCGCTGCCCGCTTTACCGAGACCGCTGGGTTTGAATCGAAATATTAAACGCATTCATATTCGGGTCTCCCCGCCTCCGTTCGAGAGCCCGCGCAGTGTTCGCGGGCACGCGCGCTATGCGCAGAACGCACTGCCAATAGCGTTTCTTCATAAAACGGACTCGGCGCGCGCCAAAAAGCGACGAGAAGGAGTTGAAACGGCAATAAGGGGGAGTTGTAAATCAGACTGCTTGGCGCCCGACGGTCGAAAGCGAGCGGAAAGGCCAGAAGGGCGTTTCGGCGCGTGAATGGCTGAACCAACGGCGCTGAAATCCAAGCCAAGCCGGCTGGCCCGGCTGGCTCGCAGCGAGTGACACTTGACACCGCAGCGTGCCGACCGCACCTCCCCGCGTTTCGTGCACCCCGCCGTCCCCGCAGTGTGGGGCAATGCCGGCAATTACTTATACCCAATCTACCCCGAAACGCTAACAAAATCATGCACTTGAGGGCCACCCCCGCGTGCCGTGCCGTTGGGGTGAGTGGCAGGACGGTGGCGCGGGGGCGGCGTGGGGGCGGTGTGGGGCGGCGCGGGGGCGGTGTCGGCCGTCCGGCAGTCAACACAGGGCGGGGGCGGTAAGAGGTGCATTTTTCACTGATTAGGCCTTAGGCGCCTTCAGTCTTCTCGAGTGACGCGGGGAACGCGAGGGGATCCTACGGGGCGACACGCCGAGGCCGCCCAAGCCGGCCGGGCAGGGCAGGCCGGAAGGGGGGGGGGGCGTTAAGCCCTAGGAAGAATAATACTGCAGCGAGCCGAAGCCACCTCGTCACGTCGCGCGAAACCAAAGCACCGCCAAAACGGAGGGGGGGGGGGGGGGAGAGAGAGAAGTCAGCACCCGACTGCAGCACTGTCAAAAATAAGTCCCCGGCCCTCAACCCCCTTGGTAATGCCTGCGCTGAGTGTTTGGCCGATGGTCCGCTGGGCGTAATGCACTGACGCTTACGGGCACGAAAGGCTTTTAGTTGGGCTGACAGAGGGCAAGCTTCCCCTTCATCAGGCGGCCGTCCGTTCGCACTCTCGCCACCCCTGTGGCCGCACTCTCCACCGCCTCTCCCTCTCTCTCTAATTTGGCACACACGCCCCCCCCTCCCCGATTCGTATCGCATTTTTCCCGCGTGGCGCCGCTTCCCACGCACGATGCGGCACGCGACTGCCGCGGTCTGTCTGTCTGTCCGTCTGTGCGTCGCGTCGCCGTCGCGCTCCAGGTAGACTTATCTTCTTTTTCCATTTCCATGGAAATGGCTCCACGTTTATCGCACTTCCCTGCCTAGCCCTTTCTCTATCCGCCTGCCTGCATGCTTGCTTCCCTGTCTGTCTGTCTGTCTGTCTGTCTGTCTGTTCGTCCGTCCCCCTATGCTCGTCGCGGAGCGCGCGACAGAGTGACACGTTCATATCACACGCCTCGTCAACATGCGACTCAGTCACCGCCAAAGCGTGAGTCGCGGCGCGTCGCTCGGAGATTACGCAATGGGCGTGCCG